TTCTATTCTATTCTATTCTTATTCTTATTCTTATTCCATTCCATTCCATTCCATTCCATTCCATTCTATCTCTCCATCATCTTCCTTGCATCATCCAAGGCATCCATGGAAGAAGAATAAGTTAATCTTTAATCTTGTTTTCCCTATCAAAATTCTTTTAAGAAATGCTTCTTCACTGGTTTTTACAGATTTGTATATCTATGCACATACACAGAGATATTCTATCTTCAGTACAGTACAGTACGCAGTTACTTTTATAGTTACTATATAATTATTACTATGTACTGTTTTATTATATTTAAGATTTTAGTGTATTTGGAGTGTTTTTTAAGTGTTTCATGTGCACAGAAAGGTAAAATATATACTACAGTATATATTAAGGCAAACATTTGACTAACTGGTGCTAAATAACTGTTCCAATTTACCTACAAATTTGACTTAAAGCCAGATTTAGGAATGGATCTCATTCGTAACCCAGGGATACAACCGTATCTTCCCGCATCTGATTTTTTTTAGCTGTGACAATATGAAATGCAGCCTCATTCCTCTCAATAGTGAGGTTGTGGAAGCTTTTCATTGAAGCAGAGATGTCTTTCCTTAGGACACAAATATCTGTGGATCAAATTCTACAAATCTAACAACAAACCAAAGAGCCAATTTGTCCAAAAGAGGCTGACCATGGTTTGAGCAAGATGGTTATTCCCTCATTTAAAGATTAAATTAGTTTAGAGCTCTAAACCAGAGACTACTGTTTTGTTGTCTCCTTGCAAGGGGCAACTGTCTGGAGCACTTGTGGCTGATCTCAAATCCTTGTCCAGAGAGGAATTACAAAGATTACTCCGGCTCTTCATTCTACTACAGTTTTCAGCTCTGCTTTTAGGGAAGCCATCTTCATTTCACCATTTCTTTTCTGGAAATCATTACTGCAATAAACAGCATTCCTATTAACTCTACCATGCCTATTTCTTGACTTACAGTATCTGAAGAATCTAGAATGGGATTTCTGCCCTTGCACTACATTTTACTACCATATTGGTAATAAAGAGCACCATCAGAAGTGGTGCAGAGACAGGCAGGTATTAATAGCAGATGCAGTTCCTGCCTTGCCTCCTCATGTACTTTTCTTTGATGCAGGAAATACATGTAACTGCTTTGATTGCTCTTTCATGTTCCACGGAAGGGAATGGAGAACATTTACCCTAACATGCAAGGACAGGTGTGGGTTTCTCTTTTCTTTGTTACTGCTTATTATAAACAACAGCAAAATGTTCTACCTCTCCTGGTGTAGAACAGTTTTACACAAAGAGAACTGAAGATTATGTCATATCATCCATTTTACTATAGTAAATTGCTGCCATTTACCTATGCTAATTAGACAAAACTCTTCTTGAACCAATAATAGATTAGTAAAAATACCACTGCCACCCCCCTACAAATATCCTGACTGAATGTTCAGTGAGGTATAGGACAGTGGTGGGTTTCAAAAATTTTTACTACCGGTTCTGTGGGCATGGCTTGGTGGGCGTGGCATGGTTTGGCATGGCAGGGGAAGGATACTCTTAAAATCTCCATTCCCACCCCACTCCAGGGGAAGGTTATGGCAAAATCCCCATTTCCTCCCAATCAGCTGGGACTTGGGAGGCAGAGAATAGATGGGGGTGGGGCCAGTCAGAATTTTTACTACCGGTTCTCCGAACTACTCAAAATTTCCACTACCGGTTCTCCAGAACTGGTCAGAACCTGCTGAAACCCACCTCTGGTATAGGAGTCAGCTAGATGATCCAACTCGTAGAGAAATACAGAGGAAGCCTTGAAAAAAAATATCCACAGCTATTACAAAAATAGCAGCTTGGCTGCGAATGAAGAAGGAAGAGGTGAGGAAGAAACTCAAGATTGTCCTGTCTTGACTTTCCTGGGTATAAAAGGGAGGTAAGAGAAGCTCTGTCAGGGGTTCAAGATTCTGTTATACCCCATGTTAATATAGTTTTAGGGATGCCTGTTTCTTGATTTGACCTACTTGAAGAGATGACAATTGTGGTTCCATCTGAGTTCTGAGGCAGAGATTGAAGAAGCAGACAACACAGACCAGTAGGCAGTCCTGTAACTGCTCTAGGAGGCAGTGACCCCCCCCCAAGAGGGGGAGATCTGATTCAGATCATGGGGTGCCAGATGCTGGCAAGGCACTCAGCCCAAAACCACTTCAGCTAGCAGCTGCAAAAAGGTGAGCTAAGTAGGTCAGCACTGAGAGAATAGGAAAGCAGCTAAACAATCAAGCTTTTTTTTTTTTGGTACCTAGGGATTCTCTAAGTCTTTGCCCATTCTTGGACACAACTCCCATACTCCAGAGCAGGGTACCTCTCACACATGCTCCTGGCCCTGGTTTCGAGCCCCCAACTTGACATTCTGGCTCACAAAATTCTATATCCCTTCAAACCTGGGCTGTCACAGCTCTTGTGGCACCACCTCTGTCTCTTCTCCTGTAGCAGGTCCCTACAATTCATGTCACAAGTCAAGTCACAAGCTTTTTGACTTCAAGTCTCAAGGCTAATTACTCACCTGGTTTCTGGCTACTGTCAGGACATCATGGACAATGCAACAATGAAGATCGTCAAACTTGTAATGTCTGTCTTTCTGTTTGTGATGGCTGACAGAAGACATGCTGAAGCGAGCCTTAATCCATTCTCCAACCCTTCACTGTCTCACCATCCTTATGGAAAGCAACTTGTATTCATTGGACAAAGAAAGGCAGAGGATCCGCCAATGGCAGCCCCATTAGATCTGGAAACTATGCCCCATTAGATCTGGAAAGACAGCACACTCATTAATTCCATTGTTGAGGTGCACTAAAGGTACCGGCTGAGGTATCAACAGAGGGGCTATAAGAGTTAAATGCTTTTTCAGCCAACACAATACATGTGGATCCTGTCATAAGGAAGCACCCTTAATGAGAGCAGAGATTTGCATGCAAAGAAATTGGAGCCTGACATTTCCAAAAGAAAGGAAAAGATAGATATTTATGTCAGGAACCGGAGAGACCATATTCTGCACAAAGTAGAACTATTTTCCTATCAAGTCCTACTTAAATCTGATCCAATTTAACTTTTCAAAATGATTTGAAATCACTTGGATGGGGCCACCTGATGGAATAGAGTTTGTGCCAAGGTAACCTTTAGAGAGCTTCTATTGTTCACACTTCCAGTCCAGGGTACATCATTCAGTCCCAACCTTTAAAGTTCCTGCTGTCTTCCTTCACAACAGAATATTGTGGTCATAAATTACGTCAGGTCCACATTATATTAATTCTGTGTCATGTGACCTAGCTATCACGATAGCTACTCTTGCGAAAATATTGTTCCTGTACCTTCTTAGTGCTTCTTTCCTATGTCCAGATCACCTCATTTTGATATTTATTTCTTCACTGATTGATTTAATTTCTATAGCCACCTATCTCAACAAGTGATATCATAAAACATAAAAACAATTAGAACAATACAAAATGTGCTTTTGTGTAGCACACTTATTTTTTTTATTTATTTATTCAACTTGTATGCCGCCTTTCTCCGAAGACTCAAGGCGGCTTACAATGCATTTAAAAACCATATATAAAAACATTAAAAATTAAAACATTAAAAACAATTAAAACCCATTCACACCATTCATGGCCGGATCTTGCCAGATCGCAAGAGTGAGATCAACGGCCCCAGGCCTGCCGGAAAAGCCAGGTCTTCACCGCTTTTTGGAAGGCCAATAAGGTGGGGATAGTCCGGATCTCGGAGGTAACTGGTTCCAGAGAGCTGGGGCAGCCACAGAGAAGGCCCTCCCCACGGGCCCGCCAGCCGGCATTGTTTAGCTGACGGGATCCGGAGGAGACCAACTCTGTGGGATCTTACCGGTTGCTGGGAGCTATGCGGTAGAAGGCAGTCTCAAAGATAACCTGGCCCTGAGCCATGTAGCCATTTTTAACTATAGCTTTTATATCATTTTACTGTTTTATTTGTAAACTCTCCAGGGGCATGCAAGTGTGATAGGTAATATAGAAATTTGATTAATTTGATTAATTATTAATTTTTTAAAATGGCACCAAGTAAAGTCGTTAGTATGGATGTTAATTCAGTCCTGAAACAGGGCCCTTAACACACTCTGGGCCCTGATCTTGGGCAAACAACCAAATCTTCACAATCTTATGGAAGGCAAACAGGGTCAGGGTCATCCGAATAGCCGAAGAGAAAATATTCTACAGGGCAGAGGATATGGCAGAGAAGGCACATCTCTTGGTTCCCACCAATCAACATTTCTTGGCTGACGGGACCTGTAACATGTCCAACCCATCTGACCAAATTGGACAAGTAGAAACAACCAGGAGAAGATAATCCCTTGGCTACAAGCAAACTGCGAGAGAGAAGTGGATTGGATGTTGGTTTTACAATACAAAGTTCCCCCACTCCTCCTTCCATCACACCAACCAAACTCACAGGTATAGAATAAGTGGTAACTGGCTCAACAGTTGTAAGAGGGATCTTGGGGCCCTAGCCTAGTGGACAACCACTTAAATATGAGCCAGCAGTATGCTGCAGCTGCCAAAAAAGCCAATGCCATCCTGGAGTGCATCAACAGAGGGATATCATCAAGATCACGAATTGCAAAAGTGACTCCATCTCACTTACTCTATGAGCTGTGGTGGCGCAGTGGTTAGAATGGAATATTGTGGGCTGACTCTGCCCACCCTATGATTCTAGGTCTATTTTCTTCCATCTGGTAGGCAATGGTAGAAAAATTTGATAATCCACTTCTGGACCTTCAGGGGGAGTGTTTCCTTGTTCCCCCACTTCAAAGGGAATGTCTCAGAGCCTTAAAACTCTGGGTCTTCTGCAAATGATGCTTCAGTTCCTCCATTTCAACACACCCATAGATTGTTGACACTTCCTGTATTTTTTTTTTCTTTTCTTTCACAATTGTGGAAGTTTAGAGAATCATCAGGCAGAATAAGGAAGCTTTCGTCCGAATTACGCTGCTTTCGGGGGTGTGCAGGACAAGATCTTTTCCATAATTCCTGTGGTATTTCAGCACCAATTTGTTCTTCTGAGCAACAGGACAGGACAAGTCAGAAGACTTAGGAAGCCAGAAGTTCTGCTGCCTACAAAAATCCCAGCATGAGGCTTGTTTTCAATCTGTTCCTGGGTTGGTATTGCCAGTAAAGAGAAGATGGGAGCAGTAGGGATGGCGACATGGTGCCAAGGTCAAAGATCCAGTGTCAATTTCTGCTGCTCAGATATTTTGACACTAATGGAATCATATATTTTTTTCAGGATGGTGGCTGACTCAGCATAGATGGATGGCTGAAGGTGAGTTTTATTAGACACACGACTATATTATGGATGTAAAATGAGAATTACATGTCAGGGTCTCCCCAAAGCAAATCCATTTTTTTTCTTTCCTTTTTTAAAATATTTTATATTTTAATTATACATAGATACCTTTAAAATAGTGTATTGTCTGGGTCCATTTTGTTTAAAAGAGAAATAACATAATAAAAATCACAATTATAATAACAAAAATAATTATGTTAACTTATTTATATTCATAGTCATACTAATTCATCTTTTACTTATACATAGTAATAATATTTCTTCTTCTAATTTCTACCTCTTATATCTAACCACTTGTAAAACATATCCCATGTTGAGTAATATTCTATATCTGCTTTATCTTTTATTTTTAATGTCAGTCTATCCATCTCTGCAGTCTATTTTCTGAATTATATTTTCATCTGAGGGGGTGTCCTCATTTTTCCAATATTGTGCAAATACAATTCTTGCTGCTGTCAACACATGAAATATTAAATATGTAGTCCCTTTATTGTACCTTTCTTTCTGGTAGTATACCTAACAAGAACATTTCTGACTTTAGATCTATATGTTGCTTAATTATCTTTTCTAACCATGTATGAATTTTCGTCCAGAATTTTTTTGCCTTCACACATGTCCACCACATATGATAATAAGTACCTGGAGTCTGATTATATTTCCAACATTTGGTAGACCTATTTTTAGACATCTTTGCTAGCCTTGCCAAACATTTTGTATAGGTTTTCCTTATATGAGGTGGCCATTGTCATTTTATAGTTCCTATCCCAAAGTTTCTGCCATTTGTATTGCATTCTTTTCCCTTGTATTGTAATAGTTCATCTCTTGCCTTCTTCTCTCTCGACTTTTTCAAAAATCTCATGTGTACCTCTCTTGGAAGTTTATATCTTCTCGCATAACTCGTGTGTATTCTAAAGGTTTCATCTATCTCTGCATCCATCTCCTGCTTATCAATCTTTAGCAAATCCATTTTTCTTATCCTAGTAGGACAGCTAGATATATTTTACAATTTATAGGAAACCCAGTGTTTCTCATCTCTTGTGTTGTATACAACTCCTCCAGAAAAATACAAGATTTTCTCTCTTGGTCTTTGATTGTACAACTACTAAGAAAAAGTGAATAAATAACTGTTTTCTGATGAGGTGCAATATAAGACACTCATCTTTTTGGCTTTTGATGATAGGAAGGGAGAAGGATCTGCTCAGGGTCAGCAGTATCAAAAGTGTTGAAGTCCCTCCCTTGAGTAATGCATATTCATATCAATTGGTAGGTTTATGTTTCCTGGATCTTGCTTTCTGTAAGGAGGCATCTAATGAAACTGCATGAATGGAGACCGATGATCAGAGCCAAGTTCCTCAAAGGGAGAACTCAGGGTGTCCCTGCCATCTCAATTCTAGAGGAATTACCATATTTTTCAGAGTATAAGACACACTTTTTTCCCTCCTAAAAGAGGCTGAAAATTTGGGTGCGTCTTATACTCTGAATGTAGCTTTTTCGAAGCTTTTTTTCAGCCCTAACAAGTGCTAGCGAGCAAAGTGATCTCCATGCTTTGCCTGCTCCCTCTAACTCTCAGCTGTGCTTTAGAAGCTTTTTTTTTTGCCCTAACGAGGCGCTAGCGAGCAAAGTGATCTCCATGCTTTCCCTGCTCCCTCCAACTCTCAGCTGTGCTTTAAAAGCTTTTTTTCAGCCCTAACAAGGCGCTAGCGAGTGAAGCGATCTTCCGTGCTTTGCCTGCTCCCTCCGACTCTCAGCTGTGAAGCTTTTTTCCAGCCCTAACGAGGCGCTAGCGAGTGAAGCGATCTCTGTGGTTTGCCTGCTTTTTTCATTGCTTCTCTCTCCAAAGTTAAGTTGTGCTTTAGAAGCTGTTTTTTATCCCCAAGCAGGGGATAAAAAACCAACTATCTAATGTGTTGAAACTGACCAGACTAACGACACTAGCCAGATGAATACCTGTGAGGCAGATTTCTCCCCCCCCACCACCTATTTTCCTCCCCAAAAACTAAGCTGTGTCTTATACTCTGGTGCGTCTTATACTGTGAAAAATATGGTATATGTTTCCAAAATTACTTACTCAAGACTTATCCTAGGATTTGTTACTGCTTCTGAGTTGCTTGTTCTGAGATTTGGTTGCCTGGAATTCTTCTCGGGAGGCAGATGCTTTTAATCAAAGCAAGGAGTTAAGAGGAGAGAAGACTGTGTTCAAACTCTGCCCTGTGCTCCCCAGACCAACCTGGAAGATGGTATTCCTTCCATAGGGTGGAGGGAAATCCCGCAGTCCATTGGGATTTACTCCTGGAACCAGAGGGGCCCAAATTATTTTTCTTTTCAAACAATTACAGTATCTTGCATTAGTGTAGTCTCCCTCCCTTTCTCTCTCTCTATGGCAATTCATGTGGGTGTGAGTCACTGAGCAAGGAATATATCGTTTCAGGTTTTGCACAATTTCATATGTAGCCCTTACATACCACATTAAATATTGTTTGTTGGTTAAAAGTATAACCTAACAATCTCTTACACAAACAACTGCTTTCAGGTTCTCCATGTTACAACCTTTTTACCTCTTCTCCTCTTCTCCAGGACAATTTAGTGCCAAAGTTTCCATCTCAGTGAATCCCAGTAACGTGGTTGCTGTGGGAGAGCATATAAGCATCAGTTGCAAGAGGGATAGGAACGGAAAAGTGTTTCTCACTCTCTATCAAAAGAAAGAAATTCATCATCATTTCAGAGAGATACCTAATACCAGAACAGAGCATAATGAGATTAACTTTTATATTTCCAAAGCACAGCAATCAGATCAGGGGATCTACTGTTGTGCATATTATTTACACCAGGGATACTTTTCAAGCGACGAAGTTTTTATCTTCGTGCGAGGTAAGTCCTTTCCCGTGCTGCTTTTGTCCATGAGGCTAACCTAGCTACAAATAGACCTCTATTTACAACAGTTTGTTTAGTGACCATCTGACGTTACAACAGAGCTGGAAAAAGTGACTTATGACCGCTTTTCACACTTATGACCACTGCTGTATCCTCATGGTCAAAATTCAGATGCTTGGCAACTGGAACATATTTATGATGGCCGCAGTGTTCCCAGGGTCATGTGATCCCCTTTTGCGACCTTCTGACAACCAAAGTCAATGGGGAAGCCAGGTTCAATTAACAACCGTGGTACTAACTTAACAACTGCAGCGGTTCACTTAACAACTGTGAAAAGAAAGGTCTTAAAATGGGGCAAAACTCACCTACCAAATGTCTCACTTAGCAACAGAAATTTGGGTTCAATTGTGATCAGAAGTCAAGGGCTACCTGTATTTCCTAGACCTATAAATGGAAACCAAAGTCTGCATTTCCCCAAATGCAGAAGGGATGGAAATTATTTTCTTGCAGACATTTCATTACCAAACTAGGTAACATCATCAGTGCAAACCTCACTGCTTTCTGACACCCAGCTTAGCCTGTAGTATCAACAGATAAATTAAGAAGCTTTCTCAAGGGTGGCTGCTGCTATATCTGTCTGTCCCCTCATCCCCACAAAGTGAGAGAAGTAAACATTAAATTTGTATGGCTTTGTTCATCCCTGCAAGTTTAAGGAAATATATTATAGTTTAGATCTCTCCACCTGTCTTTAAGCCAGCAGGAAATTATACTGGCATGAATTTGCTATCCTGTTGCTGATGTCTAATCTACCCTACTGCTCTCATTCCCTATCATTTGAAGGCAAAGATAGTGGGTGGTTAAATTTTGTAAGCCATCTAAATCACCTATGTGAAAGTTGGGTGGCTACATAAATTCGTTAAAAAATAAAATAAAAATAAGCAAAGCCAAGCTGACTTTACTTCTTTACCGCCTGTCCATAGCTGGGATCAGAATTAGAGGGAAACCATAACTTTACTATTGCAATATGTAACTTGTAGCTCTCACCAACTGAGGATGAGCTGAAGTTAATATCCTGAAGACAAATAGGTAATGGCCATTGTTGAGGAATGATTTTGCCATGGTTAGTTACAAGGGGCAGCATTATCTAAGACGGGGTCAGCAAACTTAAACACTCAAAGAGCCACTTGGACCCGTTTCCCACAAAAAAAAAAAAACACACCAGAGCCACAAAACTTGGATGGGCATGACCAACTTGATGTCACTCACTCACCCAGTCACATGACCCCCCCAGCCACGCCTACCCAGCCAGGGGATTCGTGCAGTTACTATCCCACCCCTCCTCAGCCTCGGTCACGCCATGAGGCTCCAACTCAAGGAGGAGAAGACGGAGGAAGAGGGGGGCGGGGGAAGTGTAAATGGCAGCTACCTTGAGCAAGCCACAGCACTATCACGCAGGGCTCCAAGTGGTTGGAGAAGCAGCAGAAACAGCAGCCAGGGCATCACAAGTGTGGAAGAGCCACACTCAAGGGGCCAAAGAGCGGCATGTGGCTCGCGAGCCGTGGTTTGCCGACCACTGATCTAAGATAAACGTCAAGACTATAGAGCGGGGGTGTCAAACTCAAGGCCCAGGGGGAGGATCTGTCCCCCTGTGGGGTGCTTAGATTTGGCCCGTGGGGCCACTCTGGAAACAGCAAAGGACCAGCCCATGGTGCCTCTGCCAGCGAAAACAGAGCTTGGGAGGACAACATGCAGCCTTCCCAGGCTCCATTTTCATTGGCAGAGGGTTGCAGGAGGCCGTCACAACCAAAAATGGAGCTCACAAGGGCCACCTGCAACTCTCCTCAGCTCTGTTTTCACTGGGAGAGGGTTTCAGGCGGCCATTGCAACTGAAAATGAAGCTCAGGAACCCATTTTCGCTGGCAGAGTGCTTGGGCCATCACAGGCGCTCCTGACACGAGTGATGTCAAGATGCCCACACCCACCCCAGCCCCTCAAGGTCACACAACCCTGATGCGGCCCTAAACGAAATCGAGTGTGAAAACCCCTGATATAGAGAAATAGACATGGTACTCTTTTTGCCTCTTCTCCTGCTGAAAAAGGAGGGAATCCCTGGACAAGTGGTCACTGATCAAGTTTCATTTCTTGATCACCATCCATTCTGTCACTGAGAGCAAAAAGGGTTTTTAAAAATTGAGGAGATGCTACTTTAACACTTGCCTGATCAAAGTCTCCAGGATGGGATCATTAAGGCAATTTGGTGGCTGGGACAATATTTTTACATTCATCTCATGAGCAACACAGGTAAAAAGGGGAGAGATTTAGATCAACTGATGGTCACAGTTCCTATTTTGATTCTTTGCCTCCTTTCCCAGGTGAGTTTGACCTATCCAAAGTTGTTTGTTTTCTCCTGAAATGCAAATATCTTGCCATTTTAAAGATTCAGGCTGTTACAAATATTGCAGTATTAAAACCTCATCTTTTTTTCCCCCTTACTCAGAACAATTGTTTCCCAGCCCCTCCATTTCAGTGATCCCCAATGGGCTGGTTGTCCTAGGAAAAAAAGTCAAAATCCAGTGCAAACAGGAATATCCCCAAATTGTACAATTTAACCTCTTCAAAAAAGGGGCTTTAAATGAACCAGCAATCCAACTTTCAGAGAACAAAATGACTGAATTCCTTATTCACAATGCCCAAGAATCAAACGGAGGAATCTACTTTTGTGACTATCGATTCATCCAGCAGCAGTACTATTACTATAGATATTCGAAGTTCAGTAATAAAATATATATCAATATAACAGGTAAGATGTGGATTCCTATTCTTCACAGTTGCTTCACAAAAGAGAATTCAGCATTTTTGCATTTTCTGTACTTAGAATAAAAATAATATTAGCACTTGAATTTTCTTTTTCCTTCATCTCTTCATGCATCTGCAATTCAGTTAACTTATTATTCTCTTGAACATCAAAGAATATACAGATGTAATAATCATAGTGTGATCTTCCCTGTATTGTACGGCATTAGCTCATTCATTCATTCATTCATTCATTCATTCATTCATTTTATTTTATTTAGAAAAATAGAATATAATTTTATTGGCCAAGTGTGATTGGACACACAAGGAATTTGTCTTGGTGCAATATGCTCTCAGTGTACATAAAAGAAAAGATACATTCGTCAAGAATCATAAGGTACAACACTTAATGATACTCATTAGCAATCAAATCATATTAGGAAACAGTCAATATAAATGGTAAGGATACAAGCAACAAAGTTACAGTCATACAGTCATTAGTGGAAGGAGATGGGTGATGGGAACAATGAGAAGATTAATAGTAATACAGTCTTAGTAAATAGTTTGACAGTGTTGAGGGAATTATTTGTTTAGCAGAGTGATGGCGTTCGGGAAAAAACTGTTCTTGTGTCTAGTTGTTCTGATGTGCAGTGCTCTATAGCATCATTTTAATGGTAGGAGTTGAAACAGTTTATGTCCAGGATGCGAGGGGTCTGTAAATATTTTCACAGCCCTCTTTTTGACTCGTGCAATATACAGGTTCTCAATGGAAGGCAGGTTGGTAGCAACTGTTTTTTTTTTTTTTTTTTGCAGTTTTAATTATCCTCTGAAGTCTGTGTCTGTCTTGTTGGGTTGCAGAACCAAACCAGACAGTTATAGAGGTGCAGATGACAGATTCAATAATTCCTCTGTAGAACTGTATCAGCAGCTCCTTGGGCAGTTTGAGTTTTCTGAGTTGGCGCAAAAAGAACATTCTTTGTTGTGCTTTTTTGATGACGTTTTTGATGTTAGGTATCCAAATTTTGATGTTAGGTGTCCATTTTAGATCTTGTGATATGGTAGAAAATTAGCTTATCAAACATGTATGAAATAACAGATATAAGTATAAACATGGATATGAACACAGGAAATGGATACGAATAAAAGAAAACATTAAGACAGGGATGGTAGGCACGCTGGTGTGCTTATGCATGCTCCCTTACAGACCTCTTAGGAATGGGGTGAGGTCCACAGTAGACAGTTTAAGGTGAAAGATATGGAGGTTTGAGGATGTAACAAAGGAGTCAGGTGGAGCATTCCAGGCATTGACCACTCTGTTGCTGAAGTCGTATTTTCTGCAATCGAGTTTGGAGCGGTTTACCTTGAGTTTGTATCTATTGTTGGCCCCTGTATTATTGTGGTTGAAGCTGAAGTTGTCATTGACAGGTAGGACGTTGTAGCAGATAATATTGTGTACTACGCTTAAATCAGACTGTAGGCAGCATAGTTCTAGGTTGTTCAAGCCCAAAATTTCAAGCCTGGTGGCATAAGGTATTCTATTGTGAGCAGAGGAGTGGAGGACTCTTCTCGAGAGGTGGGTTTCAGCAGGTCCTGACCAGTTCTGGAGAACCAATAGTGGAAATTTTGAGTAGTTCGGATAACTGGTAAATACCACCTCTGACTGGCTCTGCCCGCATCTATTCTCTGCCTCCCAAGCCCCAGCTGATCAGGAGGAAATGGGGATTTTGCAGTAACTTTCCCCTGGAATGGGGAGGGAATGGAGATTTTATAGTATCCTTCCCCTGCCATGCCCACCAAGCCACACCCACAGAACTGATAGTAAAAATTTTTGAATCCACCACTGCTCTTCTCGTGAAATACCTCTGAACTTGCTCAATTGTATTAATGTCAGATACAGAGTGCGGATTCCAGGCAGACGAGCTTATTCGAGAATTGGTCTAGCAAAGGTTTTGAATGCCCTAGTTTACAATGTTACCGGAGAAGAAGCTTCACAAGATTAGGTTAACAATGCCTTTTTGGCAATGCTGTTACAGTGAGCTCTGGGGCTTAGATCATTTGAGATGAGTACTCTTAGGTCCTTGACAGAGTGAGGTCATACGCACCCCTTGTATTTGGAGTTCTGATTTTTGTTGCCAATGTGTAAGACAGAGCATTTGTTGGTTGAGATTTGGAATTGCCAATTGTTTGACCATTCTGACACATAGTCAAGGTCTCTTTGTAGGGCAGCAGCGTTGTCGGTATAGCATTGTCATGCTGTAGAATGAAGGCCCTTGAGTTAATTTGTGACTCCTGATGATTGCTTGGACTAGTTCCTGCAGTTTTCCTGACAACATTTTCACAAGGGATTTGCCATTACCTTCTTTTTAGGGCTGAGAGTGAGCAATTGGCTCAAGATCCTCTCTTGGTTTGCTTAAGTAGGGACTAGAGCTCACAGTCTCCTGGTGATTGGCCCATTATCCCCTGTAGATTCCATGCCTAAGGAGAGATTGGAACTCGCAGTCTGTCAGTTTCTAGCCTGATCCTTTAACCACTACACAAACTTGCTCCAGATACATGCATACATACATACATATGAGCTGCAGTGGTTAGAAGGCAGTACTGCAGGCTACTTTTGCTGACTGCCGGCTGCCTGCAATTTGGCAGATTGAATCTCACCAGGCTCAAGGTTCACTCAGCTTTCCATCCTTCTGAGGTAGGTAAAATGAGGACCCAGATTGTTGGGGGCAATATTCTGACTCTGTAAACTGCTTAGAGAGGACTATAAAGCACTGTGAAGTGGTTTATAAGTCTAAGTGCTATTGCTATATATACAAAATCTGCTAAGTCATTATTTTCTAAGTCCTATTATAAGAATGCACACTAACACTGATTGCATAAAGCACTGAAAAATTGCTTTTATTATATATTAAGATTGCATTATGCATTAAGGAATATGAATCTAGAATATCATGGATGAGAGAGCAAGGCAGATGTATGTAGTAGGAAATATATGGTCTTTAGGAACTGAAAATGATTTAATGGCACATAATTAAATATAGGTTTTTAATTTGTTAAGATTGTTGTTTTTAATTGTTGTGAGCTGCCCAGAGTCACTTAGGTGTGATGGGTGGCCATACAATTTGAATGAATGAATGAATGAATGAATGAATGAATGAATGAATGAATGCTGAAAAAATTGCACAAATGAGAGACCATTATGAAAGAAATATGTGATTTGGTCATATAAAGAGAATGAACGTATGGCAAAACAAACCTTAGAAAGAATGAGAAGAGAAATTTCCTAACAGTGAGTATCAACCAATGGAATAGCTTGCCTTCTGAAGATGTGGGAATTCCATCACTGGAGGCTTTCAAAAAGAGACTGGACAACCATTTATCCAAAATGGTATATAGGGTATCCTGCTCGAGCAGGCGGTTGGATTAGAAGACCTCTGAGGTATCTTCCAACTCTATTATTCTATGTTCTAAAATGATAAAGAAAGTATGTTTAGATGGCGTTGATGAGTTTGTTATGGAACGCTCAGGTTAAAGATAAAATTTCAGAAGAAATCCAAAATTATTTTCAAGCTAACAATGCATGTGAAGACTAATTCATGTTCAGAAATGCTGTTCGTTTAGTGATCCTTATTTCTCTGAGTTTATTTTCCTTTCCAGCAAATTCTTCCCCAGCTACATCACAATGGTGGGTTCCTCCTGGTTCTGCCCAGTTCTGCTGAGCCAGTAGCAGTGACAATATGACATCACCGGTTCTGCCCCCCCGCCCCCCCCACTCCCTGCATTATTCTTACCTTTTATTTGGCCCCACCCCCAATCTATTGCTGCCTCCTGAGTCCCAGCTGATGGCTAGAGGGAAAAAAACTGTTTAAACTCTTGCTGTGGGGCTTGAAAGAGCCGCCCGACAGCTGATCAGTGTTAAAAGAAAACAAATGAGTAGACCAGTGCCTGCAAAAATCCATGAGTAGATCGGTACAGCTCTGCAAGCAGTTAAAAGCCTGTAGACCAGTACCTCTGCTAAATCCTAAATAATTGTGACATGACCATCAAGCCATGCCCACAGAACCGGTAGTAAAAAAATTTAGAACCCACCCCTGCTACATCAGTCTTACTAATGATTTTGCATGAATCTAAAAGAGGGGGAAATTGTAGTTTCTTGCCACTTTTAAGGCTTGTCATTGGTGCTTCTAATGCCTTTGCTCTTTGTCTAACATTTTCTTGCCTTCAGACCCCAGAGTCACAGAGCCTGCCATCTATATGGAACCAAAGGGACAGCAAATGCTTAATTCAAATGTCCGAATCTACTGCCAGGGGCCAGAGGATGATCTGAACTACTCCCTCTATAACTCAACAGACTTCATAATTTCCCAAAGGGCAAAACCAAACAGTTCCTTGGCTGAGTTTTCCATCTTGGGAGTCAGGTTGGAAGACATAGGAAACTACAGTTGTTGCTATCAGCTTAAAAATAAACCCTTTGTGTATTCAAACTTAAGTGACCCTCTGCAGCTTCAAGTAAGAGGTAAGGAATTAGCTCCTCCCCAACCCCCACTATCTTCCAAATCCCATATCCTGAATAAGAACCATGAGTAAAATTGGGGACCATTTATCCTGAACCATTTGAGGAAACCAGAGGATGAGATGCTTAAATGAGGAAAGAATGAGAAAAAAAAATCAGAATGAGAAAGTGAAAAAATTACAGCCAACTTTATTTGCACTACGCATATACTGTAGGTGTGGAAAACAGCATGTGTAGGGTCAAAAGAAAAGAGCCAGGCTTAGACTCAACCCTTCCAAGACCAAGTGGCTGTGGTTCCCGGCGTCCTGGTATAGTCAGCTGGCTCCATCACTGACTATGGGGGCTAGATCTTGGCCCCCTCAGAGAGGGCTCACAACTTGGGTGTTCTCCTGGATGCACGGCTGTCTTTGGAAGATCATATGACGGCCATGGCCAGGGTATCAGGCTCGCCTGATATGCCACTTGCGTCCCTTTCTGGACCGGGATGCCCTGCGCATGGTCACTCATGCCCTCGTCCCGTCCCGTCTGGACTACTGTAACGCTCTCTACATGGGGCTCCCCTTGAAGAGCACTCGGAGGCTCCAACTGGTCCAGAATGCAGCCACACAGGTGATTATGGGTGCAACTCGGCGCACCCATGTAACACCTCTCCTGCGCGAGCTGCACTGGCTCCCGGTGGTCTTCCGGGTGCGATTCAAGGTGCTGGTCACGACCTTTAAAGCACTCCATGGCTTAGGACTGGGGTATATACGAGACCGCCTTCTGACACCGACAGCCTCCCACTGGCCAATATGCTCCCACAGAGAGGGGCTCCTCAGGGTGCTGTCGGCCAAACAATGCTGACTGGAGACACCAGGGGGAGAGCCTTCTCTGTGGGGGCACCAGCCCTATGGAATGAGCTGCCCCTAGAGGTTCGTATGATCCCCGACCTGCGTATCGTTCGCCGCGCCCTGAACATCCTTTTGTTCCAACAAGCCGGGCTGGCCTAATAGGAATTTTTAAATTGGGTGTTTGTTAGTTTTTTAATTTTGTGGGCCAAATTTTTATATATTCGGTTTTAAATTGTTTTTAAATTTTGTAAATTTATATGTGTTTTAATATGGCTGTACACCACCCCGAGTCCTTCGGGAGAAGGGCGGTATAGAAATCTAATAAATCTAATCTAATCTAATCTAATATGTGCATGGGTTCATCACTTCTACTATGGGAAGTGTGAAGCCCAGCCTGTTAAGCCACACAGGTGGAGAAAGAGACATAAATAGAGTCCTTGATCCTTCCTGAGCTTGGATTCTTTGCAAATTTATTTATTTAGCATGTGGCATACAATGTCAGAGAAATCTACACATGCTAGACACAATGCAGTCCTGACAGCCTAAATTGCTAGTTCGTTCTGTTTGACGCTTGTGTAACTATCCTTGGTGCACTGCGGGGCGGGGGGGGGGCAAACTAGTTTTACACCAGTTAACTAATGGTACGAGTTGCTGGTTCTTCTGGGCTCCTCCACTGGTCTCACCTCATGTCACAATGCCTCGTGTCCAGCCAAGTCCAGTACCGATTTCTGTTCTACACACACACAAAGGCAGCTTTTTTCTCCCCCACCAAAGTGGTATCCATTTATCCACTCACAATATTGCATGCTTTTGAATTGCTGGGTGGACGGGGAGCCAGGGATCAAGCGACAGGAGCTCACTCCATCTCATGGAGCCAGACTCAAACTGCCGAAGGGCAAATAATTTCTGGCCAGCAGTTCCAGCGTCATTAAACCTCTGAGCCACTACATCCAACTCCTCCTTGCAAATGTTTCATTACCAACAAAGTACCAATATCAGCATTGGTACTTTGTGTGGTTGGTCCGTTTTTATATATGTTAGTTTTTAATCATACACACACAAACACGTACACACACACACGATAAAAACTAATACAAACTAAAATATAAAGTAAAAAAATAAAGAATAGAAAGTGCAGAAAAGAAAAGAAAAAGCAGAAAAGGAAGAAAAAACTAAATTGTAACAAAAAAGAAAATATATAAAGAAATGATTTCACCCTTCAGATTAACAGAGTTGGAAGGGACCTTGTAGGTCATCTAGTCCAACCCCTCGCCCATGCAGAAGATCCTACATCATTTCTGACAAATGGCAGTCCAATCTTTTCCTGAAAGCCTCCAGTGATGAAGTTCCCACAACTTCCGAAGTCAAGCTGTTCCACTGATTGATTGTTCTGTCAGAAAATTTCTCCATTACAATACCTTCAATACAATACATATAAACAATTTTAATTTTAACTTACCACATTCTTTAGTTCTGGATGGGGTTGACCCCCAACTTCAGTTTGCCATTTCTTCCCCATAAGTCCTCGGTCAAAGTATTTATTTCAAAGGTCTCTCCTGCAATGAAATTTGGGAATAATCTTTTGCTCTTCAAGGTCTCAAGGGAATATCTTTCCCTGTCCTTCTTGGAAATGCTGCGATTAGATGGTTGAGTTTACACAAAAAGTTTTAACTTCTCCCGTTAAAGCTGGTGATTATATTTTCTCTGTAAATGAAGCTTGATTAGTTTTAATATTCGTATTCTTAGCACGTGGTGTCAGCTCAAGCCGCTTTAATTGGGTCAAGCATGCATTCATGGATCGCAGTCTTAATTAGATTATTAGACGTACAAAATTTCAGTTGCAGTAGCAGGGATATGTGTATGTGTAATCCTAACCCACATCTGGCCCTTTGGCTGTCCCTGAGGTCCATTGGAAATTAAAAATCAAATGTAAGTAAATGTATGCCATGCATACAATAATAACTGCATTGCTTTTATTTTGGAGGCAATTGCTTTTTAAAAAAATTATTTATGTTCCTGACTATAATTAAGAGATTACAAGTTTGTAAAACAGGAGTTTATATGTTCATGTGTGGGTGAATATACATCTTCAGAGCCCTATTGGTTCAGCCCTTCCACAACAGTCCCAGTTTCTCATGTAGCCCATTGGGAAAATTAATTGCCAAATCCTGCTCCCCTACTTTGGTTGTCTGATAGAAGAGTGCACTAAGCATCTATAGTTTCATATTGATATCTTTTCTGCTTTTACAGATGCCAGTCTTCTCTGTAAGCTAAATTGTTTAGCATATTACTTTAAAGACACAGAATATAATACGCAATATAAGACATATTTGGACACCTGGATAGAATAATGGAGTGGAGAAGAAATAAACAGGCTTTCTTATAAATATTTGAAAAACAATATGTGAGAATGGAGAAGAGGATCCTTTTGTTGCCAAATGACTGAAAAGGGAGGGATGTTATTTGTGGTTGAGCGAAATGGGAGATACTGGTCTCTAAGGTTCCACTGAATCTTTCCCTCTTCTAGATCCCAGCCTGACCAAGCCTTCCATCCAGATTATAAATGCAGAACAAGTTGCTCCAGAAGCAAATGTTTCCATCCAGTGCAATGCAACAGAACCAGATCTGATTTTTGCTCTTCTGAAATCAGGGGAACAGATAGATTACAAAGCTGCGGAGCCAGGAGAAAAGGCGGTGAATTTTACTCCCCACTGGAAGAAGTTGGAAGAGACACAAAATTATACCTGCCAGTACCACTACAAAAGCAGGCCCTTTATCTGGTCAGTTCCAAGTGACCCAGTGGAGAGGCTTCAGGAAGGTAGGATGTCAAAGTAACATATTTCATTTTCCCCATTTGCCCTGTCAGTAAATCAGAGACAGACTCGATTTCTGGAAGACTCTGAACCGGGACAGTGGATATTGGACACATTGTCTGCACAGCGTGGTGGTCACACACATCTGAATATGAGAAGGAGTAGGTGGGCCCGTGTCTATCTTGGGACATTTGAAAATATTTTGTGGGTGCCATTAAGTAAAAATAGAGAAACAGAAATGTTGACAAATAGACTGAGAACTAGACTTTCCATTCTTTTAAATAGGCTATACAAATTAAATTAATAAACATAAGACACTGAGAAAAAGCTAGAGAAGAGAGAGTAGACACATACTCTGATATGGACCGGAGGCTTATTTGCATTGCTGAGTTATTCCATCACCAGATTATAACAGATCATAAAAGTGGTACACATTATAGGCAATGGTGGTATTTAGCTGGTTCTATCCGGTTCGGGCAAACCACTAGTGGTGGCTGCAGGAGGCTCCGCCCACCCTCCCGGATGTCATCATGTCCCGTTTTTGACACTCTGCGCATGCTCAGAAGGCTCTGCGCATGTTCAGAGGTGGTGCATGTGCTCACATTTGCCAACCAGTAGCAAAGGTAAGTGAATATCACCCGATTATAGGCTATTAATGAAATAGTGAGCCACTTGCGATGATTGCTTGGGTTAACCATAAAATGAGAAGGTTTAATTAATGATAAGGAGAAGTTCAAAAGCTATTTTATTGTAGTGGTTAAGATGGTGGATTAGAAACTAAGATGGTTGTGAGTTTTAATCCTCTTTAGGTGCAAAAGCTAACGGGGTAATTTTGGGCACGTCCATCTGCCTTAACCAAACCCACTTCTTAGGGTTGTTCTTATGGGAAAATGGGAAGAGGGAGCATTGTGTACTCTGCCTTAAATTGTATAAAATAAAGGCAGGATATTAATGAAATAAATAAATGGGAAAAGGCCACCATCGTTTTCCTTGCTACCAGTATTATTTGCCTGGAATCTTTAAGGGGCTGTTAAGACACTGGAAACCAGGGAAGTTGAGAAGGCGAACAAATTGGGTGGACTGGACTGGTAAAAAGATCACAAGAGGTAGTTATTCATCGCCAGCTCTGCATTTATTAGATATCATTATTAGCCTTCTATCCAAGATGTCTATGGCTTTACAGGTGAATCCTTAATAACTCTATGGACAAGTATTGCTGCGTGCCTTTTCTTTCTGGCTATCCTCCTCCTGGTGCTTATCTTCATTTTATACAGAAACAGAAGAAAAGGTAAGCAATACAGATTTGTAGAGGAGAATATTTGTAGCTGAGATTCGAAATGAGTTTGGTTGTTTTCTGGCAGATGTTTCATTAATGATGTTTCATCATTTGTTTTTTTTTTAACGTTTGTATTACATGTATTTTTATCGTTCGCTGTTCACCACCCTGAGTCCCTCAGGAATAGGGCGGTATATAAATTTAATTAATAAATAAATAAATAAATAAATAAATAAATAAATAAATAAATAATCAATCCAGATTAGGTAACATCATCAGTGCCAGCAGAAGGAGCACCAAAGACTCCCTTAAAGATGGATTGTTTTAAAGCAGCCGAGCATAAGGCTATGCTCCTCTGTTTACTTAAGAATCTCACTTGATAAAAACCTATTCATAGTTCAGGTAGTCCTCAACTTACGACCACAATTGAATTCTGTTGCTAAGCAAAACACTTGTTCAGTTAATTTTGCCTCATTTTGCGACCTTTTTTGCTACAGTTGTTAAGTGAATCACTGCAGCTGTTAAGTTAATGTCATGGTTGTTAAGTGAATCTGGCTTCCTCATTGACATTGCTTCTCAGGTCGCAAAAGGGGATCACACAACCTCAGGACACTGCAACCATCGTAAATATGATTCAATTGCCAAGCATCCAAATTTTGATGACCTTGGGGATGCTGCAAGGGTCATAAGGGTGAAAAATGGTCATAAATAACTTTTTTCAGCGCCGTTGTAGCTTTGAACAGTCACTAAACGAACTGTTGTAAGCCGAGGACTACCTGTACAAAGATGCAGTTTGCGTGAGAAAGAGAACTGTTTTCCTTTAAAAATGAAATAAGATATAACAGCAAGGAAACAGGTTGCAGAAAGCACACACAGAATTCCATTTGTTACCTTTGGAGCAGCTTAGTACCAGACGTGAAAGTAGAAATAATTACAAAGGAAGTTAAATCTGTACTATTCCAGCAGCTTTCAGTCCTTAGCTATGTTCAGTTTAATATTATTGCTATTATCATTTAATTATTGTATTTTGCAATGATTGTTTGCTACTATAGATTGGATTAGTCCATAAATATTACAAATACATTAAATCCATGTAAAGGAAAATTTAAGGAATCCCCTTAAGCAATCATTTTTTGGCGAATCAGTACAGGTGGTCCTCAACTTACAACCACAATTGAACCTAAAATTTCTGTGGCTAAGTGAGACATTTATTAAATGAGTTTTGTCCCATTTTACGACTTTTCTTGCCACCGTTGATAAGTGAATCACCGCAGTTGTTTTAAGATAGTAACATGGTTATAAAACGAATCTGGCTTCCCCTCTGAATTTGCTTGTCAAAAGTTTGCAAAAGGTGATCATGTGACCCCAGGACACTACAACCCGTCATAAAAGTGAGTTATTTGCCATGCGTCTGAATTTTGATCACGTGACCATGGGGAGGCTACAACGGTTGTAAGTGTGAAAAAAATGACCATAGTGCCATTGTAACTTTGAACGGTCACTAAATGAACTGTTGGAAGTTGAGGACTACCCGTATTTAATACTGAACTGCCGATAATGTGAGTTTAGTCCACTTTTCAGGTTGTAGGGGGTGTAAAAAAGCGGAAACAGAGTGGTGTATCCTTACTCCCATCTCCACCTTTGAAACAAAGAATTTTAAGAAGGGAACATGAATTATTTCTCTTTTAGAGACCTCCCTTCCCATTGCTGTCTTTAAAACCGACCCCAAAATTCTACCACATTCCTTTACGGCAGTGTTTCTCAACCTTGGAAGCTTGAAGATGGGTGGACTTCAACTCCCAGAATCCCCCAGCCAGCAGCGCTTCACTGCTTTACAGTGAGGACATCACATTGAATGATGTCCTTCAATCTTCCAGAAGACTGGAACCTTTCAGTCTATAAAATTCCATAATTTTGTTGGGAAATTCACTGCATTTCTGTGGAGTACAGAAAGCAACGTAAAATATATCTATCTGATTGCAGAAATCTCCTAATACAGATTATATGCAGCCAAACAGTTAAGACAAGAAGCTTGGTTGTAGAAAATAAACCAGCATTTATCATTTAAAATAAGCCAAATATATATTTTTTCACAAGATTCTTTTTGACTTACAGGCTCTGTTACCAAAGAAACCAATGTACCAGCCAGTATGGTAAGAAACAGTTCCTGAACACTAGTCCTATAATTGTCAACATGTCCTCCATGAATCTATAGGTCACTGATGGCTAACCTTTTTGCTGTTGCATGCCAAAACCGGAGAGGAGTGTGGGGGGGTTGAGTGTGCACTTGCCCACACCCATAATTCAATGTGCCCCACCCCCCATGCATGCATGCGCGCCCCCTCCACTTTCCCCCCCCATTTTGGCATACGATGGTATAGTGGGCCTGGTAGATCCAGTTTTTGCCCTCCCCAGGCTCCAGAGGCTGTTCTAGGAGCCTGGGGAGGCCTGTTTCCCGACTTCCAGTGGGCCCGAAAGGCCCGAAAATCAGCTGGCCGGAGCACACATGCATGCTGGAGCTGAGCTAGGGCAACTCTCACGTGCCCACAGATATGGCTCTGCGTGCCACTTGTGGCACGCATGCCATAGATTCACCTTCACAGCTATAGGTCATAAATCAAGATGACAGGGCTAATTTTCATTTTTAAAACAAGATGAGTTTCACAAAAGGCAAGGAAAAGTATCTTGGTCTTAAGAAAACCTTCACATTTCATATTAGGCCAATGTTTTTACTGGGTCTGTTAAGCAACTACAAGCAGCATGCAAGTTTTCAAGGTAAGTTTGAATGTCAGCAAAGGAATGGGACAAGAATGGTCTCCTCCGGGTCCCGTCAGCTAAACAATGCCGGCTGGCGGGCCGGCGGGGGAGGGCCTTCTCTGTGGCTGCCCCAGCTCTCTGGAACCAGTTACCTCCTGAGATCCGGACTACCCCCACCCTATTGGCCTTCCGGAAAGCGGTGAAGACCTGGCTTTTCCGGCAGGCCTGGGTCCGTTGATTTCGCTGTTGCAATCTTGCGAGATCTGGCCATGAATGGTGTGCATGGGCTTTTAATGTTTTTAAAATGTTTTTATAATGTTTTAAAATAATTTTTCTATGTTCATTGTTCGCATTATTTTTGCTGTAAGCCACCCAGAGTCCCTTGGGAGTTGGGCGGCATAGAAATGCGATAAATTAAATTAAATATCCTCTCCTTATTTATTCAACCTCTGTGTTGAATAAATATTGAAAGGGTCTGGATTGGAAGAAGATGGTTTTAAAACTGGAAGAAGAAACATCAGTAACCTGTGCTATGCTGGCAACCAGCTATTTCTGGTAACTGGGAATGCAAATGATCTTCAAGCTGTAATAACGAAAGGCAAGGAACACAGAGGAAAAAAATGAAACTATAAAGAAGAACAAGCTAATGGCAAAAGGCACAGCAGCCAGATATAAGATACGCAACAAAGATATTGAAGTGATGGATAGCTTTTGCCTTTTAGGATCAACGTGCAGTCCAAGGGACTCGCAGGAGTCTTCTCCAGCACCATAGTTCAAAGAATTGAGGCCTTTGAACTATGGTGCTGGAGAAGACTCCTGCGAGTCCCTTGGACCGCAAGGCAAACAAACTAGTCAGTCCTAGAGATCAACCCTGACTGCTCCTTAGAAGGCCAGATCCTTAAGATGAAACTCAAATATTTTGGCCACCAAATGAGAAGGAAGGGCTCACTGGAGAAGAGCCTAATGCTGGGAAACATTGAGGGCAAAAGAAGAAAGGGACAACAGAAAATGAGGTGGATGGATGGAGTCACCAAAGCAGTAGGCGTGAGTTTAAATGGACTCCAGAGGATGGTAGAGGACAGGAAGGCCTGGAGGAACATTGTCCATGGGGTCGTGATGGGTCGGACACGACTTCGCAACTGACAACAACAGGTAGTCCTCAACTTATAACCATGATTGAGCCCAAAATTTACGTTGCTAAGTGAAAAAATTGTTAAGTGAGTTTTGCCCCATTTTACAGCTTTTCTTGCCACTTTTGTTAAGTGGATCACTGCAGTTGTTAAATTACTAACGCGGGTGTTAAGTGAATCTGGTTTCCCCGTTGACTTTGCTTGTCAAAAGATTCACATGACCCTGGGATATCACAACTGTCATAAATGTTGCCAGTCGTCAACCATCCAAATGTAAATCACATGACCATGGGATGCTGCAACGGTCATAAGTATGAAAAATTGTCATAAATAACTTTTTTCAGTGCCGTTCACTAAGGAAACTGTTGTAAATTGAGGAGTACTTGTATTAGCAATAAAGGAACCAGCAATCAAGAAATATGTCACAGACCAGCACTCAGTAGGGGAGCAATGAAGGCTTTAAAAAAAGTCATTCTGGTCCATGGATGTGTCTGTATCTATAAAGGTTAGAATTATGCAGGCAATATTTTTTTTGACATTCTATGGAAGTAAACTTTGGACTTTGAAGAACTAGACATTTTTCAACTTTGGTCAAAAGTTGAAAAAGTCATTTGAAGATGTCAAGAGCAGCCCAGAAAACAAAACAAAAAATAGATCGTAAAACAAATCAATCCAGAACCTTAAGTCACCAAAAAATCATGTTCAAACTATCATGTTTGGACCATATTAGGCAAAAACTCAACCTTACTGAGAAATCTATAATGCTGGGAAGGAAAGAGAAAAGGACCAACATCAGCACTTTGGACGGACTTACCGTATTTTTCAGAGTATAAGACGCACCTTTTTCCCCCAAAAAAGAGGGTGAAAATCTGGGTGTCTTATACTCCAAATGTAGCCCCACCCAGCTTCTCAAATGGAGGTTTCAGAGGCTGAAAAAAGCATCAGAAATGAAGCTTCAGAAAAGAAGCCCCCAAACAGAGCTTCAGAAAAAAAGCCTCAGAAACAGAGCTTCAGAGGCTTTTTTTCTGAAGCTGTTTTGGAGGCTTTCAGAGGCAGGGAAAAAAAGCAAAAAAAAAAGCAAGGCACAGAGCTCCCAACCAAGGAACCTGTTGCTAAAATTCACCTCTTGGAACAGCTGATTGGGGGTATTCCGGGAGGCCAATTCACCTGCAATCAGCTTTTTTCTTATTTTCCTCCCCAAAAACTAAGGTGCGTCTTATACTCCAGTGCGTCTTATACTCTAGAAAATATGGTAACTAAAATGATGATGCACCATGAGGGGATCTGAAGGGTCAAATTGGGGACATACCCTGGAAAAGGTCGATTAATGCAGTTACTAAGAGTTGATGGCATTTTTATCAATCAAGGGGCCAAAAATAGCTATTGAAAGGCATACTTAATTTCCAAATCAGTTCTCCAACACATCACCAAAAATGGTTCCCAATATCCAAGTCATCTCAAGGTACATGTTTAATCTGCAAAAGTTCTAATGATCTCAACCCTGGAAATTTTCTTTATGATTTCTCCAAACGTTTATTATTGTTTGGGGTAAAATTTTGCCTAGTGATGAGAATGTGCAATTAAATTTGCTAACTCAGAACAAGGCATGTGGCTACTTCTGCCTTCTACACTGTCTTTTGTAAGATGAAATCAAAATGAGTTCCTCTATAACTCCAGATTATATAATTAGGATTATAACTGGAAGAAACCATGTGATCACGAATCCTACATATAGTATTTTATTTATTTATTTAGGGACTTTATATTGCCGTCTTATTCGCAAATGACAACTCAAGGCAGCTTATAGAATATAAAACCCCATATAAAAAACAATAAAACTAATAAAAGAGTCATATAATAAATTAATATACTAAAATCACCCCCCGTCCCAGCGACAGCACCTCACCCAAGCCATTTAATGGGCTTCATCCCGCTCTGGGTTCCCAAGGCCGCTGGCAGAACCAGATCTTCAGTGCCTTCCGGAGGAGTATTAGAGTGGGGGCCGTTCTACTCTCAGGGGGAATGATGTTCCAGAGAGAAGGAGCTACCACAGAGAAGGCCCTTCTTCTGGGTCCCACCAGGTGTATCTCCTTCGAGGATGGGACCCAGAGCATTCCCTGCCTCCATGCTCTGATGGGTCGGGTAGATGCGATCGGCAAGAGATGGTCCTTCAGATAACCTGGTCCCAAGCCATGAAGGGCTTTAAAGATGACAACCAGCACCTTGCTGCAAATCAGCAGCCAATGCAGCTCCCACAGGAGAGGTGATATATGTGCACACCAGGGTCTCCACAAAACCATGCAGGCTGCTGCATTTTGCACCAACTGGAGCTTCCAGATGCTCTTCAAGGGCAGCCACATGTACAGTGTGTTGCAATAGTCAAGACAGGAAGTAACTAGGACATGAGTGACTGTGATTAGGGATTTTAAGAAAATTAGCCATCAATAATGCTCTTGAAGGAGAATATATATATATAATTTATATATCTATCTTAGTCTCCCAATGGGAGTGGATTGGGATTTCACCGAACTAGGGCTGCATAAAAATCTTAGTTTACGTAGGAAGAACTTGGCTAAAGAGAAATACACATAAAGGTCTACGAAAAGAAAAGAAAACAAATATATATAAATATATATTTGTTTTCTAAGGTTTTCGCGGGTGTTTATATGTATTTGGCCAAGACACTTCCAATTTTACGCAGGAGAAAACCCCAAATAACCAAAGACAGACAGACAGACAGACAGACAGACAGACAGACAGACAGACATGCATACATACATACATAACAACCAGTTCTGTGGGCGTGGCTTAGTTGGGGGTGTGGCTTGCTGGTCATGTGACCGGGTGGGCGTTGCTAGTTGGTCATGTGACCGGGTAGGCGTTGCTAGCTGGTCATGTGACCGGGTGGGCGTGGCTAGCTGGTCATGTGACCGGGTGGGCATGGCTATCTGCATAGGAACTATTCAGAGGGCTGAAAAAAGTCATTTCTGACTGGTCCTCGCACTTATGACCATCCTCACATTTATGCCCGTTGCGGCATTCTTAACAACCATGTCACTCATTTCACAACTGCTTCTCTTCATCATGGTGACAAGATAGAGCAAAAATGTAAAATGTGAGGACAGTCATAAGTTCGAGGACTGGTCAAAAGTGCGAGGACCAGTCAAAAATAACTTTTTCAGCCCTCTGAGTAGTCCATATGCATAAAAGGATACAGCAATAGAGAGGGATGAAGGAAGGGAAGGGAAATTAGAGTAGGAGTGAGGGTAAGAGAGGGAGGAAGAGAGGAGGAGAAGGAGAAAGGAAGAGGAAGTAGTAAGGAGAAGAAGAGGGGGAAGAGAAAATAAGAAGGAAAGAAAAGAGAGAGGTGGTAGGTTTGAGGAGAAAGATTGCTGTACAATAAAAAAGATGAAAGGGAAGAAAGCCAACCCCAAACAAATATAAAGATATTAAGATAAAGAATGAATTGTTAAACTTTAAAGAATAAAAGAGAACAAAGATGAATAAATAGCAATAATTAGAAACACACATACAAACATACAATGTATTTTCTTTGAACAGAGTATTTGGCCGGTTCACAAATTTAAACAGTGTTTAGTCATTTCAATTAAATTTACAATTTCTATATTTCCTTTTTGCCACATTTATTCCTCATCTATTTTTTAAAAAAACCAATATTACCCTTCATCCTCATCTCTAATCTTAATCAAATTCAATTTTTCCCTTCTATTCTATATTATACCCCTTCTCATTGTCATCTATTTTTATATCCATCCTCACATTGGTTAATTATGTAATATTACAGTTGTTTAATACAAATTCAACATTTTAATATAAATCAATTAGTTATATAACTATCTTTTTTGTATATTAATCAATATGAACATGAATATTCCAATTATTTTCATGCAATCCAATTTCTTACAAATCAATTAATTATATTTACCAATAATAATAAACCAAATAATTTCTCCCATATATTCCTCCAAACAACAACTTAACCATTTCTGCTTTCAACACAATATACAATGAATAGTAACTCAATTATTACAATTCCCTAGTTAAATAGAGCTTTTTTTCTTTTGTGTTTTAAAATCTTGAACTCTCCTCTTTTGCCCTAAATTTCCCATTGTTTGCACCTACCTTTTTTGGTGAGGAAAAAGAAAAAGAAATTTCTCTCTGCCTTATTTTGTCACGTTGCAGCAAAGACCCTGCTTTACTTTCGGTTTCGCTTTTTCAGCATAGCTAGGCTAGGGGAAAAAAAATCTGCTTGAGCACTCTTTGCAGAGAGCAATAGAGCCCTGGCAAAACAGCTGAGAGCAAATCAGCTGAGAGGCAGGACGCCGATCTAATCAACTTGTGCTAATTAACCGATGCTGAAGCTGAAGTGGCTGTTTTTTCTTGCTGTTTGCTTGCAAGGAGGTAAGTGCTGCGAAGCACAGGGGAAAGGGTGGGGGCCGCCCCCCTTGCCTCTTACCGTCCCCTAAGGCATTCCACCGCCCCCCAGGGGGCAGTACTGCCCACTTTGGCAACCACTGGCTTAACTACTTAACTACTTAACAACCAGTTCTATCGAAGTAGAATCCCACCACTGAGTCTACCCATTTATTTTTGCAGGCGTCGGTCTATTCATTTCTTTTCTTTTAACACTGATCAGCTGTAGGGAGGCTCTTTGAAGCCCCACGGCAGCTGCGAGGCCAATAAAATTATAATAAAACACTGAACTGTTTGTTAAATTGCTGGCTCGTCCACCCCTTGCCCAGTGGTGCAGAGGGGCGGGGCAAGGGGCGGGGCGAGCCAGCAATTTAACAAACAGTTCAGCCGAACCGCCTAGAACTGGCAGAATCCCACCACTGCATACACACACACACACACACACACACACACACACATATAATTCTCTTTTCGTAGGTCTTTATGTGTATTTTTCTCTCAGCCAGGTTTTATATATATATTACACACAAAGACACACATACATACATACTCACATACATACATACATACACACTAGCATCCCAACCACCGCAACAGACAGTTCTAAATATTGAATGAATACTGTCGATTCATAATATTTTGAATTGTGATCTACTTTGAATACCCACGCCAACCTTAAGTTTCTATTGGGAGAAATGGAGGCAAGTGACAAAACGTGTGGTATGATATTATAACATAAAACCTCTTTTGGTATATGGGGACATCAAAAAGTGTAAGGGTGGTTGGGCTGAGAGAAGTGACTGGCCCAAGATCACCCAGCTGGTTTTCATGGCCAGGTGGGACTTCAACTCAGAGTTTCTGGGCCAGTGCCTTAACCATTAGACCAAATTGGCTCTTGGTTAAGTATCAATATCCCAGCATTATTTAGCTGGTTAGGAGAGGCCACACTTTGAGCATACTTAAAGGCTTTTGTTGAAACATTAACAGAAACACTGCACTCTCAATGTCTTTTCTTTGTTCTCTGCAGCACTTAAGCTCTTCCATGGTGGAAACCCCTGATGAAATTTCATATGCTGCAATAAACCACAATTCACTGGAAATCAGACCACCAACCCTTTATGACACAGTCCCTGAATCCTGTATCTATGCAAATGTGTCCAAAGAAAGCACTAAGGAGAACCAATAGGGAAGGCCATTCAGAAGAGAAGATAATTCTGAAATGTTGGTGTAGCCATCTATATTACAGATATCCATGTTGGGATCATCTTGCTATACATATCCTTCTTCCTCTTTCATGGTTTTAATTGTTCAATCTCAGAGATATGCTGGGTTCAGGCCAGTGGTGGGTTGCTCCTGGTTCGCCCAAGCTGGTAGCGGTGATGATGTGATGTCACCGAACCAGTTCTCTTTGTCTGGGAGCTGGGCCCTGCCACCCACCCCTGCGTTATTCCTACCTTTATTTCTTCATTTTTAGCCCAGCTGTTAGGTGTGGCAGAGTGGATTGCTGCACCTCAGCTAGGCCGATACCTAACGCATTTGCACGGAGCGCAAGTTTGGCGTGCACACGAGCGAAGCGAGCATGCGTGCGGCGATCGCGCACAAAGCATGTGCACAAAGAGAACCAGTAGTAACACCAGTTAGAATCCACCACTGGTTCAGGCTATCATATATCCTGCCCATAAGTGTCTTCACAAGAATATTATTATAACATCCAATACTGCAAACTGAATCCTGGCATTCTGTAGCTCAAGTCCAATTTTTTCTCCAAGACTGAGATGGGCCAATAGGAGAAAGAATCAAACAGGGAGCTGCTGAGAGATTCGCTATGGAGTTACAAATATCAGAACTCCATAACCATAATCATGACTGGAAGGGAATATTTAAGGAAAAACTCCTTCGACATTCTGATTAGTAGAAGGATATATTTTTAAACGGGACCACACAGAAATATTTTTGCTTTTAAATACAAACTCCATCTAGAGGCAACTATCAAAACCATTGGATCTTGCTTGCTTTTTCCTGAACTTTCTATGAAGCCATGAAGAATTTTATGTCTTGTGAAAGCAAGTTAACCTGCATCTAGATATTGTTTATACCCAATCAACCAGCCTCATTATCAGGGTGAAAATCCCCTTTTGCAACTGATCCTCAGTTGCCAGGTACAATGATGGATCTTTTGAGTCTAGAAGGAGGATATGGGCAAGGCTGAGTTGAATATTCTTACTATAATTAAAAAGGTGAGGTGGTTTGTAAAAATTTCCATGAACCTTTAAATATTTAAGAAAACACCTTCTGAAAATAAGAGCTTTCCAACAATACCAAAACCCACCCTTTGCAGTGGCTATATGATGTTTTGATGATTATATTGTTCTGACTCTTGTGAAGACAGTTGTGTGCAATTTGTGACAGATTAACAAAAAGAGGGCGGACAGATAAATAATTCGAGACTGCTGATAGGCTATTAATAGCCAGTGGAACTGTAACTCTCTTACCCTCCTAAGGTAAAGCCACCGTTCTCATCTCAGGTGTTACATCTGGTAATCTGATCATATCTGGTACAATAATTTAATTTAATTTAATTTAATTTAATTTCCAATTTATATACCGCCCTTCTCCCTGAGGACTCAGGGCGGTGTACAGCCAAGATAAAAAACATAGGATACAAATATTAAAACATTTAAAAATATATATAAATTTTGGCCCGAAAGTTAAGAATCACAGACTAATTAAAAGAATTTAAAAATTTTAAAATTTTAAAAATTTCTTCTTAGGCCAACCCGGCTTGTTGAAAAAGATGGGTTTTCAGGGAACGACGGAAGGCATTGAGGTCCATTGAGAACATGTTCTTGAAAATTAAAGTGAAAGGAAGTTGACCCACCATGGCATGGTAGCAGGACCATGGCAACTTGTAGAGGAATGTTTTAGCAACATGGAGGAGAGGAGGACAATGGCTCAGTGACAAGACAAATTCAGGATCATAGGGACAGAGGATATAATTTTTAAACTGTAATGGGGGGAAACAGGAGTAATTTGAGGTTCCTTCTGTTGGCTTTGTTGAATTTCTGTATGTGTTCCTGAGAATGGGAATAGAATATGAGCAAAGATTAGTGGCTAACAAGCATATACAAGTAGGATAGGCAAGGCCTTTACCTAACTACATCCTACCAGATGAAAGTTAGAATATGGGTTCTGTGGATGAAGAAGAGCAGAAGACAGTGATCCAAGATTTGCAATTTCTTAGACAAACAGCAGGCAGAATGTTAGACAAGAGAATAAATCCTGAATTCTCTAACCCATGCATACAAACACTACCTCCTTGTGATAAATCAGTCAGTGCCATCGGATCTACACACCCCAAGACGTGGTTGATACATGCTCCTCTGAAGAACCTCCATTGGAAGTTTGTCTTTCAAGTTGCAAAAAAGTATTTCATGAAACCCCACTATGAAGTCAACTTCGTAGTGCTTACCTGGCCTTTCAATTCACATCTCAAAGGAGCAGTTGGAGAGCAAGTCAATTGCCTTACTGGGATCTTGTCAGCTGGAGCTGGCACACACAGAAGGATAGTCAATGCTAGCTTCTGAACTCTTAAATCCTGCAAAACCTGCTTCCTGAACCTACATTTGGAATTCTTCCTTTTTATTTCTGGTTTTCTTTTTCTAAAAAGAAAGTGGAATCACTTTAAGGGGGGAGCCTGAAGCTTAGAATACTAGTTATTCTTTACAACAACTTCAAATCTTTATTACGGTTATGGATCATATATTATTATCTCCTACTCTAAAACTGAAGGAAAAAACTGGCCTCACCATGGGAGACCAGCAGCTTCAGGTTGCCATGGAGAAGAGCCCTGAGTAATAAATAATGAAGACTGAGATATATTTCTAAGATGTTAAATCAGATTGAATGGGTACAAGGGTATCCTAGACCAGGGGTGTCAAACTCGTGTCATCACGACGGCGTCACGTGACATATTGGGACTTTCCCCCCCTTTTGCTAAGCAGAGCAGGAGCAGAGCCAGCCTGTGATGCAGGCTGCGAGTTTGACACCCCTGTCCTAGACTATTGACGTTGTACTACATTACTTAGTCTGTAAAGCAGTGTTTCTCAACCATGGTAACAATAAGATGCAAGGACTTCAGGTCCCAGAATTCCCCAGGCAGCATGGTTAAGGAATTCTGGGAGTTGAAGTCCACATATCTTAATGTTGCCAAGGTTGAACAACACTGCCATAAAATAAAGGTTCTCTTCAGTTGAAATTCACAACTGGTGACCACCTATAATTTTCTTTCAAAGCATTTATTTGTTTTTGCCATAGCTTTCTTCTGTGTAAGTTTCTTTCAACTACTCTATGTAGCCTTCAGCCCTAGGATTCCTCATGGCCTTTCATCCAGATACTGACTGGGTGGGTTTTTGCTTAGCTTTTTGAGCTCTGACAAATTCACTAGCCTCAGCTGTTGTGATATTTTAACATGTAAATAAACCAAGTGTTAGTGAAGCAACATAAATATCCTATGACTAACCCACTAAAATGAAAATTTGGGAACTTCTGGAACTTCTCCATTCTCAGAAATGGGGTATGTCCACATTAGTATTTTTTGCTATACTTGTATTATTCATGTTTTCTGTGATCTTGATGTTTTATTCTTGGCAAACTAAAAAATTGCTAAGATGTCATGACTATAATTTAATAAAGATATAAATAAGACACTACAGGGTGAGTCCTTTATCATGATTGGGGGCTGGGAGGGTTGGTATCTTAATACAAAATACAAATCTCATTTCTCTTGTCAAGGCCAGATTTCTAAGCCTCCCATTCAGTGATCCCGTCCCAGGATCAGCCTGAAAAATGTCCACATCATCTAAAAAAAAGGTGGGGAGCTATGGTCCCTTTATGACTTGTGGACTTCAACTCCCAGAATTCCTGAGCCAGCCATGCTGTTCAGGAATTCTGGGAGTTGAAGCCCATGGGTTATAAAAGGGCCATAGTTCCAGGGGTGAAATCTAAAATTTGTCACTACCGGTTCTGTGGGTGTGACTTGGTGTGTGTGTGGGGGTGTTAATGTGACTGGGTGGGCGTCGCCAACTTGTTTTCTTTTTACTTTTAAAAGCATTTTTTCTACAACCTTAAGAGGTTGCAGAAAAAAATGCTTTTAAAAGCCTCTGAAGATCCCAGCTGAGCCGTGCAATCATCAGAGACTTTTTAAAAAACTTTTAAAAGCATTTTTTTGGCCGGAGAGGTTGTAGAAAAAAGTTTTTTAAAAAAACAGCCTCTAATGATTGCGCGGCTCAGCTGGGTATGGGGGGGTGTACACAGGGATTTTTGCTACTGGTTCTCCGAACCACCCGTCGCCATCACTACCAGATCGGGAGATCCGGTCTGAACCGGGAGCATTTCACCCCTGCATAGTTCCCCATCCCTGATCTAAAAGAAGACTTTACTTGCCTTCAGCTTTCTTTTTCAATTAGAGAAGCATCAATATCCCCCATTAAAACTATTTTATTTGAACTGGGAGTAGGACATTTCTCAATTTTCAGGACTTTGCCTCCTAATCCATCTGTCCAGATGCAGTTTCAGCCAATATGTCCTTTTAATAATAGCAATTGCACTTAGACTTACATACCGCTTTATAGTGCTTTTATAGCCCTCTCTAAGCAGTTTACAGAGTTAGCATAGTGTCCCCAACAATCTGGGTCCTCATTTTACCCACCTCGGAAGGATGGAAGGCTGAGTCAGCCTTGAGCGGGTGATTTGATCTGCTGAACTGTAACTAGCAGGTTAGCTGAACTAGTCTGCAGTACTGGACTCTAACCACTGCGTCACCATTTTTTAATTCCAAAACTGAAAAGTTTTAACCCGGCTACCCAATTTCACGGTCTCCAACCTCATTTCTATCTGTGGACATCATTCTACATCCTACCCAAAACTCCTTACCTTACCTTAATGTTCTCCTACTCCTCACCTCAGTCATGAGGTATAGTTGTGTTGTCAGAAAGACATCAAGAAGGCTGCTTTTTAAACTGCTTACACGATATTATCCATATGCCGGGTGTCAGGTTATAGCCAATCTGAATGGTCTTGGATCCAAATGAATATGAAATAAAGCTGCCTACTTAATCAGATACATTTCTGACAGCACAGATTCTAAATTTTTCTTCAAAAAAAATCACCAGCACAGTCACTTAATGGTCAAAAGTAGTAACTGTATGCCAACACCTTTAAACATTTCTTTTTGCATGATTAGGAAATGAGAATGACCTCTCTCTCTCCCTCCCTCCCTCCCTCCCACCCCTCAAAGAAATACTGAAATGAGATGCTTTACAGGCAGTGATTCAAAGTCAAATGCATCAATAAACTGTTTACTGCAAACACAAGAAAAGAAAAATCTTGACAACTGCAAAAACCAAAATGCAAATGGGCATAGTTAATGCTTCTTTCTCCTGCTAATATAACACAACCTTATTTCTCAACCTTGTTAACTGGAAGATGTATGGATGTCAGCCCTCAGAATTCCCCAGTAAGCATGGGGAATTTCATAAGGTTCAGAAACAGTTTAATACACCAAGGGCCTATCGCTTTAAGGCAGGAGGAAGTGTTGACATCTCTCCATTGTTATTGCATTCAAATTTCAGCACTTCTGACTTTTGTCAGACTGAGTTGTCATCCCTTCCATGTCTTCCTGAATTTACATTTTCAAGATGGAAACTATTATTTTGACATGCAAATCCATTTTGTTAGTTTATGCTTCAGTAGGTGGAAGAATTTAACTCATACTGTCTGGGCTGGGATTGGTCGGGTGTCTCTGATGTCTCTCTGCTGCTAAGCTTCACAATAAACATTCACCATAAGCATGAGATAAAATCTCCTAGCATCTGACTTTCAACAGACTAAGAATCTACAAATAAAACCCCAAACCAAATGCAAAGCAACAAAGCAAAACATAAATACATGATAAGGATGCCAGCCAAAAGACTTGAGCACCTTTCATAAGAAATTACATCACAAGGAAGCTACATTTTTAAAGCTTGTAACAAGGAACATTTATATAGTACATCCACAGACAACCTCGTAAAAAGAGCCAGTTCCTAAGCAATTTAGATTAACGGTATTCACAGATAAGACGCATAATGCAGCCGCTTTATGTCACAAGATATTATTCTACATTTTCAAAATCTGTAGAAAAAATGCTTGGTCTTCATATTAATGTATAGTAGTTGGTAAAATAGACAGTATTTCAGCAATTTGCACATTTTACTCGAGTCCTTATTCAGTTCAAAATATTGATCCTCCTATGAAACTCACGTTGCTTGCACAGGCTAAAAACCATCATTAAGCCGCTAATTAATTTAATACTGTACAATAAGCATGTTCTTGTTACTTTTTATTTTCTGAACTAAACACACTATTCTGTGTCCCTCACAATATGCCAATCTCCCATTTTATGGTGGCATAGAATTGTGAGTTTACCAAGCTCTTAGAGACCACATAGATTTTCCTCCAGGTGGATCTGTCCTCAATCTGCTCCTTTAGATCTTCCAGTGGTGCACATCTCCTCTGCAACT